GTGGGACTGTGCTGGCTGCTCCGTAGGAGCTGGTAGGGCACCGTGGCGCGAATGGGCTGCAGCAGCCGGCCAGCGCCCGCAGCTGGGGCGCAGCCCACGCCGCCCGCACTGTTCCCGCTCCCTGAGGCGGCGGCGGGCGGGGAGCTCGCGGCGCTGCGCCGCATCCTCTGCGGCGGGGGATGAGGGGTCTGAGACGAACTGGAGGAGGAGGAGGCGGCAGTGGACATGGTAGCTCCGCGGACCCTGGACGACGCCGGCCAACACGGAGGCGCGGAGCGTGTGGGAGCCGGCGAGACAGTGCGTGCAAGTGTGTAAGGGGGAGGGGCGGGGGTGTAGGGGAGGGGAGGAGTCTCTCGACTCCCCCTTCCCAACGCGCACCCCCGTCGCCTAGGCGAGGGGGGGGAGGGGAACCCTGCGAAAACAAACGTCCAACGGCCCCGACCGCCTGGTAGTGCTCGCGGTGGTAGTCACGGCTAGAGCCGCGAGGACCCCAGAGCCGCCGCCGCCCTGAGCATCACGGTGACAGGGAAGGGACAACCGGCAGGATCTTACAACCCCGGGGCCGCTTGTAGCTTCTTCAGCCCTCACGGGACTGCACACGCGAGATAACCCAGCAGCTGGTGGGAGGGCCGGGACCCCTGCTTCTAGGGACGAAGGGAAAGGAGAAGGGCCTCGAGGTGCCTAGCACTACACTGAACCCCCACCACGACGACTGCCGCCGCGTCCCCTACCGGCTCCTCACTCCGAGCAGCAACTAATTCACTCCACCCACCCCCATCAGCCCTCCGCCTCCTGGCTTGAGGACCCGGCAGCTGCCGCAACGAGGTTACCCATTGGCTACGCAGGTTTCTACCAGCGCATGCCAGTGATTGGTTCTACAGTAGGAGTGAACTGAGCATTCGCCAATGGAAATGGTCTATTCTTCCTTTAGGGCGGGGCTCGAGGGAGTGAAAGCGTGCAGAGGGGGGCTGGACGCGCAAGGAGGGGCGTGAGAGTTGACAGCCTTTGAGGTGAGAGCGAGACTTTGATTGGACAGCCCTAGGAAAGTGGGTCCATCTGTGTCCTGCTCGTGTCTTGACACCCACAGACACGCACACGCCCCTCTAAGCAGGTTGCAAGTGCTCCCCCTTCTCCGGCCGTCAGCTGCTTGAGGCAGAAGACACTTAGGGCAAACTTTATTTTGCAAGTATATCAGTGGGATGTTTTAGAGTTAAGTGCCACAAGGATGCATCCCTGCCCTACCCCTCAAATAATAGTAATCTGAGATTTCATGGCTAGTAATCAAAACAATTTAAAGTGCTTAACATAATTAACAAAGTGACCAGGAGCAGTGTTTGGAGTATGTAATAAAAGGATCGTCGTTTTCATTACCAAAATGAAATAATGAAATCTTACGTTCTAGGACAGTATTGCATAGATCAACAAAAGATTTTACATCATTCAGCATCAGTTAGGTTTATTAATGGAGGACAAATTGTTGACTTTCCCCAGAAGCAGCCTCTTGGGAAGTATAAATAGCAGACTTAATGTGAGAATCCACTGGGGTAAATTGTTTTTATTCTGTAGTGCAACTGAAGAAATGCAGACTTTGAATGACTATCAAAAACTAAAGTTTACCTCACCGTAACTTTAAAGAGGAACAATTTTTTAAACTTTAAAGAGGAACAATTAATTTAAGAGTCTACAGCTGATACCGCCATTAATGTCCATGAAGTGAAAAAAAAAGAGAAGTGAGACCCCAGATTAGTCTGCTTCTGATGTCTGCCCTAATTGACTTGCTTTCTTTGATTTCAGGCACTATTTGCACAGATCTGTTTAACCCAAAGGTAACTCTCTCTGCTTCCTTATGTTCTCAGATCAGAAAGCATACTTAGTTCCGTTAAAAATTAATGAAACCCCGTAAGAATATGAAAATTGCATCCAGAACTTCATCCCATTAAAATAAATGAAACTCCTCATTGTATAGCACATAAAAATATCAGTTAACATGTATTGAATGTTCCACCGTCCCTGCCACGGTTCTAAGAATGTCCCATGTGTTAGCTCATTTAGTCCTCTCACTAATCCACAAGGTAGATACTATCATTATCCCCACTGTGTTCTCAGCTGAGGCACAAAGAGGTTAAATATCTTGCTCAAGATCACTCAACTAGTAAATGGAGAGCTAGAAATCTAACACAGGCCGTCTGCTTCAAGGGTCTGTAAATAGCCTTCTGCTGTACTGCCTCATAGCTTAAAGCTGTGGAGTAAAGGATCGGTATTTACAACAGTCTACAAATCATACGTGTGATGTATAGTCCCAGTTAATTTAAAAGAGTTTTAACAGTGAAAACAGCCCACTGTTATTTTGCTTTTCAAAATAGCATATTTTAATTATAAATAGTGTAAATACTCATTTAACTTTGGTGTAACCCACCTGATCTTCCATGTTTGTTTTTTCATATAAAAATCAATGATTCCTCAAATTAATTAGCAAAATTACATTCTTTCATGAGTTAAAAACAATGAAAAATGACATCAGTGACTTCTTCAGACTAGTAAAAACAAAAAATGTTGACAGATTAAAATCTGCTGCCAGTTTTGAAAAGATGCTAGTAAGTTTCTAAATTGTTGATTTGATTACATGGTTTCATTATAGAAATGCCATCTGTAAAATCTACAGATAAGTACACTGAGGCTGACATTCAAAAAGAAAGCACTTGACTAAATCCAACATACTCATTCCTGATAAAAACTCTCCGAAATATAGGAAGAGAAAGGAAATTCCTCAACATAATTAAGGGCATATACACAAAAACTTATGGCCAACATTATTCTCAGCAAGAGACAAACTGAAAAAAAGAAAACATTCCCCTTAAGAATGGGTATTAGACAAGGATGCCCTTATCACCATTTCTTTACAGTACTGTTTTAGATGTCTTAGCCAGAACAGTAGGGCAAGAAAAAGCATCCAAATTGGTAAGACTAAATTTGTATTTAGAAGTAAGACTAAATTTGCATATTTGATCCTCTACATTGAAAACAAAAATTGGAACTAACAGAAGGATTCAGAAAAATGACAGGGTCCAAGATCAACATACAAAAATCAGTCAGCGTCTTCTACACTAAACAGAACTCTGAAAATGGAATCAGGAAAACAATTCCATTTACAATAGCTACCCAAAAGATAATTATATAAGAATAAATATAATCAAAATAAATGGAAGAACCAACAGAAGGGAAGGAATAGAAGTAGGAAGTTATAATAATGTTATGGAAAGAAAGACTTAACACTGTGAAAATGTCAATACATGCTTGGTAAAGTGGTTGGTTGGTTAGTTATGTGCCATGGAGTCGTCAGTTCCAACTCATAGCCACCCTGTACAGTGTTTCCGAGGCTGTAAATCTTTACAGGAGCAGAAAGCTTCATCTTTCTCCCGTGGAACTGCTGGCAGTTTGGATTTGCTGACCTTAAGGTTCGGAGGGTCAGTGAAAAAGAAGAAGACCTCCAGTGAGATGGATTGACACAGTTGCCGCAGCCCTGAGCTCAAACATAACAATGACTGAGGATGGTGCAGGATCGGCCAGTGTTTTGTTCTGTTGTACATAGAGTTGTTATGAGTTAGAACCAACTGGACAGCACCTAACAACACCCAAAGTTATTTAGAGATATAATGCAACCCTAACCAGATTCCTACAGCATTCTTTAAAGAAATGGACAAAATAAATCACCAACTTTATATGGGAAGGAAAGAGACGTCAGATAAATAAATAAAACATTACTAAAGAAGAATAAAGTAAGAGACCTCATATTTCCCAATTTCACAACCTACTATGTAGCCACAATAGTCAAAACAGCCTGGTAATGGTACAATGACAGACCCATAGAGCAATGGAACAGAATTGAGAATCCAGAAGTAAATTTATCCACTATGGACAGCAGATCTTCAACAAAGGTTTGAAATCCACTAAATGGGGGAAGAGATAGTCTCTTTAACAAATGATACTAGCAAACTTGATATCTATTTACAGAAAAATGAAACAGAATCCATACTATATATATATATGAGAGTGTCCTGGTGCGGTGCTGTGGGTTAATGTACCAGACTGCAAAGCCCTTTCAACTGCAAGGTTGGAGGTTCAAGCTCACCAGCTGCTCCTCGGAAACCCTATACAGGGTCGCTATGGGTTGGAACCAACTCGATGGCTCTTCACAACAACAATATATATATATATATACCAACTAACTAAAAATGGATCAAAGACCTAATGTAAAACCTAAAAAAGAAAAACTTTTTGATGTTTTTATTGTTGTTAAGTGTCATCCGAGTCGGTTCTGACTCATAACACCATTCTATGGTGAGCATACTTTACTAGTGATGTTGTTCCCTTATATATCTATCTACTGCTTTGCTGAAAATTGGACCATGAGGGTGAATTCCCTTCCAGACTTGAAGGGTGGTCAGGGGCCATAGTCTCAGGTTCCTTCAGTCCCTTTCTGACCAATAAGCCTAGTCTTTTTATATGTATATAATAATTTTTAGTTTCTCATCCTTTGGATCTTGACTACTGCTTCCATGAGTATTGATTGTGGATCTAAGCAAAATGAAGTCTTTTCACCATTTATCATGATGTTATTTATTTGTCCAGTTGTGAGGATTTTTTTTTTCTTTAGACTGAGGTACAAACCATACTGATGTTCATCAGTAAATATTTTATGTCCTCTTTGATTCTAGCAAACAAGGTTGTATCATCTGCGTATTGCAAACTGTAAATGAGTCTTCCTCCAATCCTAATGCCATGATATTCTTCATGTAATCCAGCTTCTCTAATTATTTGCCCAGCATACAGAATGAATAAGTATGGGGAAAAGATACAACCTTTGGCACACACCTCTCCTGATTTTAAACTATTCAGTATCCCCATGGTCTCTTTGAATGATTGACTGTTAGTCTACATTCAGGTCCTCACAAGCCCAATGAAGTGTTCTGGAATACCCATTCTTTGCAATGTTATCCATAGTTTGTTATGATCCACACAGTTGAATGCCTTTGCATAATCGATAAAGCACAAGTAAGCATCTTTCTGGTACCCTCTGCTTTCAGCCAAGATCCATCTGATGTCAACAATGATATCCCTCCTTCCATGTTCTCTACTGAATCTCTTTCGAATTCCTGGCAGCTCCCAGCAGATGTACTGCTACAACCATTTTTAAAATCATCTTTAGCAAAATTTTACTTCCATGTGT